ACCAGTTTTCTCATGCTGGGCCTCCATTTGCTGCATCTTCTGTGTCAGCTCCTGCTCTCTTTGCTGGGCCTGAAGGGCTCGGGCCTTTGCTTCATTGCTAATGCTGTGCTGAATGCTCTCTTTCTCCAATCTAGAAAAAACCCAAACACAAGCAAGTAGGAAAAAAAGAAAAATAAAAACCATATACTGAACGTGATAAATTAAAAAGGCAGAGCGGAACATTCAATTAATAATAAAAAAAAAGAGCTGGCCAAGCTTTTCACATTAAGCATTCCCCTCCCACTTCAGGTTATACAAACTGACCTTTCTCTTACAATGTCAAACAATCTCCAGTGACTAGCAGAATATGGATTAAAAATATGATCTATTTCCTGAGTGAAGATAAGCCTTTCAGATAAAAATACAATTTTATTTTTAAAAATTTTAAACATGACTTCTTTTTCATAAGGAAGTTCCCCAACATCCACTTTGCATTGAACAGATTATTTGCATTTTCTTCTAAGTGCTATTTGTTAATTCTGCAATGAAACTTATGGACCTGACCCCAAGATGGACTGGTTCCCAGTGAACCAGCAGGAGATAAGTCAATGGGAGCGATTGCCACAGTGCTCATAATACAGCTACTTTGAAAGCTTAATGAGTTTTCTTAAGCAAACAAGTTTTAACTATTAATTTATGTAAATGGGAGCTGAATGAAACCATTACAATAGAGAAGACTGTTAGCACCACACTGGTCCAGCCCCTTGTGGTTCTGCTCAGTGGGGGGGTTGTACAGGAAGGTCTAAAGCCCACTATTACTATTGAAGTATGCAGGCAAGAGAGCAATTTACTTGACCAGATATGCAAGATGGGGCAATCTACTCCTGAGGCAAAACAAATGCTAGACTACCACACTCCATTGAAGCATTTTATTTAATGCAAGCCAAGCAAAAAGAGCATGGAAAATAAAACCCCAAAAAGATATATGCATATAAATTAGAAAAGGTCCTAAACTGCAAATTCATATCTATACTTTCCCAAAGGTCGTGAATATTTATCTGGTGCACACTAGGATCCAGATTTAAAATTTCAGTGAGTTCACCCATACAAGGACTGACTTCTACATTTCAAATTACATACATGCACGCACTTTTCTACTGAAACAACATGTAATAGCTTGGGATAGGTTCCAGTAATGTCTTATAAACATGTTGTTTTATTCGAAGGATAACACCTATTTCAAGGGACTACAAAACAGAACATGGGCATAGATCATGTAAGGATAAAGCCACATCTCATGTGGTTGCTGCACTTAACCTTTGGATTGGTGCCTAATAACCCATCCGAGATATTGCAATATCTCAGCATGTCACACACAATGTTAAATCTTCTCTCTTAAATTTACCCCAAAGCAATACAAATGGTGGGTCACATTACACTAATTCCTGGTCCTGATGTTGCAAGCCCTACCTTAGGCAAAATTCCCTTTGAAATCACAGGCAGTTTTTTCTGAGGTAAGACCGAGAATAATTTGACACAGAGAATACGTTCCGATAGCAAGAATATTATAGCATTAAGGAAACAAAGCACATTATTCAAGGAAATTTCATACACTGAACTGCACTTTATCACATCATTCTCAGAATTACGCTGTAACCATATTGAGGCTATCCTAAAGAGTGATGCTTACATCATTTCCTAAGTGTAAGCTCCAAATACGGAAAGCATTACTATGAAAAATCTTTCTGTATTTGCCAGGAACCAGTCTATTTAAACCTCTTTCCTGCTTCCAAATGTCTTTTTACCTTCAGTTGTCATGAGCACTGGATTGCTCAAAAAAATGCACCAGCACCTAACACACCCCACAGACACTTTCTGCTAAAGAAAGTGGCAGTAGCACAGTATTTTATTTAATAGTGTCTCATGTGAGATGGCTGTGTGCAGTTGGGTGCTGTGGTGTCATCTGGCACACAGCTGGCTGGCTAGCATTCTGCTGGGGGTAGCCTTCAGCATGCATCAAGCTGCACAGCTCAAGCTACCAAGGCAAGCATGTAAAGGTCCATTCCTCATTGCTAGGGTCCCTCTCCCATCAAACACATGCTAACAGGCAAGTTCAAAATAAATAGAGACTCTACTGCCACCAGAAACACTCTCTTGCTAAGGCGACCCATCCAAAAAAGCCACTCACCTGTGCTACTTACTGTATAGAGCAAACCAGCAGGAGCTCAGAAACCATGGATGCATGGTGAGTTCCCTACGGCTGAAGTGTATATGGGGTGAGTGAAAACAGATGAGTTTATACAGTGGATAAAAGCTCAACTATAAAACTAGGAAAACACAGGTAAGTTACACAGAATGGTTGCTGACTAGTCTCAATCTAGAAAATTTTGCGATTAAGACACATCCAGTGCCACATAAATATTTGAGGTGCCTAGAGCTGCTGAGGGAAAAAAAAAAATCCCCCCCCCCTCAAATTGCAGCCAAAGCTGTCTAAATTGAGTGGCAAGTCTTTCACCCATACCTTGAGTTGACACCTTCCCTGCTCTCTAAGTTCAATCTCTCTGGCCTCCTACAGAAAAATTCCCCAACACAGAGAAAAAAGAACAAAACAAAGACCCAAAACAAACAAACAAAAAATAAAAACCACAAAACATGCACAAAACATGCAGAAGGCGGCCCAAGAGATTTCAAGAACTATCAGTAACATTCCTAAAAACGAACAGTCAATAATGCAGGAGTTTTAGAAGGTTTGACACTGGCTGCTTTATTTGCAATTACTCTGAATTGTGAAAGAAGGGGAGCTTGATTTAAGAAAAAGAAAAGCTGCGGACTGTAGACAGAAGGAAACAGTTATACCCCTCCATCATTAGTGTGAAGATGTCAGAAGTTTCCTCCTACAAAAACTTCAGAATTTCTCATATTGACTAAAGGAAAGCACAGAGACAATGTAAAGCAAAGCAACAACAGCCTAATTTTGATGACAGAGGTAAGATCTGAATCAGAAATGACAACTAAAGATTAATTGTAGCAGAACTTTTGAAAGCATCATTTATAGGTATCAAAAAAAAGGAACAGAGTAGTTAAACTTCAGCAGCCTGGTCTATGCTCAAATGCAAACACTGAATCAAAAATGGAGACAGTAGCAAAAATTATAGTTCTTTCACATAGCGTCCATTGTAAAACACTAAATGCATGCCTACCTGATAATAATTCTAGATTTGGCCATAACACTGATCAGTTGTACTACAGCAGAAGCACTGAACTCAGTGTCACAAAACTGAGAGTCACACAAGTCAGAAGTAACCAAAGACTCATTCGCACAGAAGCAAGCTCAAGCTCTCCTTAAGCCCCGTTCTGAAGTGCAAGTTTGCAACTGTGATTTTAGTTCTAAAAACTGATCGGTTTGAGCCTGACTTATCGCTGTCAAGAGCAGCCTACTTGGGCAACTTGCTCATATATCTCAATGAACTGGCGATCTGCTTGCAGTGACTGAAAGCTATGCTTTCTAAATATTCTTGACAAAACAAAAGGCACAGTAAACTGCAGCTTATAGCACAGGAAGAACAAAATTGCCATAACTTGACAACCTTAAAAAAATCCTTGCTGAAAATGAAGTGAAAATTTACTTTGACCTCAAAGCTAACATGAAAGTATGCTGTCTGAATTTGAGCCACCAAATTTAATAATAAAAAAAAAACTTTCCTAACACTAACAGACAAAAACTGGATCACAGATCCATTTTCAATAGAAGACTGCTCTCTGCCAAATGTCTTCACAGTAAAGAAAAATGATGTAAAGCCTAGTGATGTGAAAGTCGTATTTGACATAAATAATAGCTCATGATTTTTTTCTGTAAAAGAACAAAACTTAGAGTGATAAAATTGAATTTTACAATGCAGTTCAGTAATAGGTATTTCTGCAAGAGTCTTTTTGCTTTGGTAACAGTAAAAATACAAAATGAAAAAACACAGGATGAGTCTCAATGTAGAATTAGGCCTCTGACTGGAGGTTGCCAGTAAGTCTTCTGACAAAGCAACTATGGTATGAAGCAACCATACTTCCTATATTGACTATTTGATTTTTCCATGAGATCAACATGTGGCATTTTGTAAAAACCTAATGGATCCATTAGTAAGGAATATGAACTTAATTGGACACATTAAAATACTTTAGCAATTATCTCAGTTCAGTGGCACACAAGAGGTTATCATAGCCTTACTTCTGGCATCTTAATTTCTTATTAATTACAGTTAAAAATGTAATCATACGATATTAGGACCGGTCAAGCCTAACAGTGATGCTTTTACTATGTGCCTCTGTGGTCAAGCACGGACCTCTTTCCCAGGTAACAGCTAGCCAAGGGGGCCAACACGGTGAACTACTGCACAACAAAGCCCATCAGAAGAGCAAAAGCACTCAGCTGAGGGCTCCCTCAGCTCTTCCAGAGGAAATGGGCTGCTTCTCCCAGTACTTTTGAAATTACATGTCTAGCACAAGCTTCTACATACCAAATGGAAGAACGGTTTTGGGAAGGTACCCAAGCACTTAATTCCCAGAACCTTTAGCAAAATCTGGCCTGTGGGCACAGAAATCAGTTAGAACACTTTTGAAAATATGACTTGAAAGCCTATGTGTACTAGGAGCTCTGAAGATTTTGGCCAATAGCTTTGGGTACAAAGGCCCAGCAATATTTTACGCAAAAAACTTTGCAAGCCTTCCATGATACAGGTCTAGTAGACTGTCCATTACAAGCAGTTTTCTGAACCACCTTCTCATAGGTTGCATTCTTATTTCAGCTACAAGTGTCAAGGGAAGACTGGAAAAAATCAGAGTACATCCTTGCTCTTCTCTTAGGATACAGGGAAAAAAACCCACAAAACCCAACACACCGCAACATTCACAGTAAAAATAATTGAATCAAATTTGAAATAAGAGGTCATAATACCTACCCTATTCTGTAAGGGGAAATGTAAGAAAAATGTTTGCAGTCTCTTACTTTGCTATCTGAAAGCATTCAAATACCATAATGATAAAGGTCATAAAAGAACGTATATAGAATAAGATCATATTTTGGGTCAGAACACTTCACAAATTTCTTCCTTCTGTCCTCCACATGTATCTTCATAAGTACATCCTACATGGAAGGATAAG